GACCAGTAATATATATATATATAATTTAGGGTGGAAGTTTCTCATAGTCTTCTTTGATACATTACAAATTTATGAACAGCATCACACGTAAAGCAAATTTAATTGTTTTTCTCTATTAAAATATATTTCAAACTCACCCATTTGCGTTACATTGTAAATATCTTCCCTCGAACAAGATGATGGCACACATATACCAATTCTGAAGGGGAAGTTGTAAAACAATTGCAAATGATTTGTAACTTCACCGGGCATCTGTAAGGAAATTTATTTGCTTCAATAAAACTCTATTGTAATTTTCAAACGCAAGTATATGTAATAATATTTTATATAAATAAAAACAAATAACTTCCCAAAATAAAATGACATACTCCTACACATTATTTATTCCTATATAATGTTAGATTTATTCTATTGATGCAAGAAACAAATAAAAAAAAGGTCGTGATATTTTTAGGTTTTTTTCAATAAATAATAGTAATAAGTTTAAAATGCAACTTCTAGTCTTCAATGTTTACATAAGCACTTAAGTATTAGCACTTACATTTTACTGTTGTTGTTTTTCTTCATTACACGTTATAAACGGGAAAAATCCTTACTTCACAAACTAATCATTAGTAAATTAAATGTGTAATATTGTGATATTACATTATGTTCCGTAACCATCACACTTTTTGGTTATTTTTAGAATCTTTGTAAGAACTTAACTTAAAAAGAGATGCACATTTAGAATCGAATTAAGTTTATTACATAAAGAATTGATGCACATGTACATTTCTCAAAAAAAAACGGTCTACCCTGAATAACTTCTGATTTATTGATCAGAATGTTCCAGAACTCATTTTTAATGGTAAAAACATGCTAAATAGTTAGTGCAGACAACATTTTAAGTTACAAAGTCAAACACAAAATCGCACTTTCTCTAAATATACGTACCTTTTTTTCGACATATTCGGGTTTCTGACAGCTCCGAAATATAAGGGATAGCCGGAATCTGGTAAATAGGGTTCCAATTGTTGTTTGATCAGGAGAGCGGTCCTAAGTTTGGCCCCTTTAATGTTAATTTTACTTTTTACATATTTCGCATTATGTCAAGAAATTTTTAAGCGAAATGAAAAAAATATTGCACGCACTTACAAAATTTTTTTATCCAAGCATAATTCTATGCAAAAAAGAATTTTTAGTAAACATTTGTTATTTTTTATTATTATCTTTTATAATAGTCAAAAATTGTAAGGTATATAATTTTAAAGAATGTAATTTCATATGGCAAAATACAAAATTAGTCGAATAATTCCTAAAAAATCAAATTTTAAAAAAGCTGTAGTCTTAAAATTCACTCTCTCGTTTAATTCGTGTTTATCTCCAATTTAGTAACTTAAAATATCGTCTGCGATAATCAATTAACATATTTGATGTCACCCCCTCGAATCATAAATATTTAGTCCTAGAACGCAAATGTCCGATTATTAGGATCAGGGTGATCAGTTTATTTTTTTGCGCAATGTACATTTACAAATGATCAATGAAATTTATTTTTGACATACCATAATGAAGCTGAAAACAGACTAATATATCAAGTGAGTGAACAGTCATAAGCACAAACATACAGTAACGAATCTCCGAATGAAAAATTCTTTTCTCATGTGCTCATTGAAAAGCTGAAACTAACTTAGCTATAAGTTTGACAAAACTGAACAGTTAAAAACGTAGAATTTTCATAAATAGAGTGCTCTATATTTTGTTTTAATTATGGTAAGAACGTTGTTTCGGTGGTTGGCTATAGCAGAGAGTTGGGGTTGGGACCAGTAATATTTAAGTTAAGGAGAGCATTTTGAAAACATTTAATAAAAAAGCGAAGTAAAATGAAACGTAAATAAACAGCAAATGGATTTTAACATTTGATTTTTATTTTATGTTGGCATTTTATGAATTTTATTTAATTTAAAATTTTATGAGTTTAGAAGGAATGCTTTTTTTCGATTCTATGAAATTATAACTGTAATTCACTTTTTACCCTTTGACGCAGAAAGGACACCGGTGTTCTTTATGTATATATATTTCTTTTCTAACACTCTAATTAAAAACAAAAATATATTTCGAAATTTTTAATCAGAAAAAATCAATCTAATAGTTACTAAAAAGCCTGTTAGATTATCGGAATTATATGCATATTAAAATCCAAAATCCAAAGAAAGAGATTGTACTTTTTTTTTGTTTCATATTTAAAACTTTATCAATAATTTATTTTTTAAATTAAAGAAATATCAGTGATGAATAACTGTTTCCTTAGATTTAAATAACTGCAAATAAGCTCAAATTTGAAGAATTTCTGTTTGGATGTGAGCCGTATTTGGAAGATTTTACCATTAAGTCAGAAAGAGACACCTGTCTTTCATGCCGTATTTCATAACAATAAATTATTGAAATGCTAAATATAATATTTTTCACTTATTTTGACCTAAATTAACACAAAATAATGAAAAAAAGTTATGAACAGAGTATGAAAAATATTTAACTTAAATTTTGCGTAAAAGGGTTAAAATCCCTCTTAGTAAAGCAAAAATATTTCTTCAAATTCTACAGAAACTCATAGGGTGTATCCAAAACTTGTTTTGATCCTTGAGTTAAATAAACATTCCTTTCTAAAAGGAGTTTGAAAAACAAGATCAACTAGTTAGATAGCCGTATGTATGACATAATAACTACCTATTTGAAAGCAATGTATTCCTACCTTAGTCACTCAATGACCTGTTCTCCAAATATTTATTTTTGTATTTTTATAGAAACTGTAAGTGTCAACAATTCATTCACTTGGGTTAATAATATGGGCATGCTTTTTAGTTTGAGAAAAACTAAATTAAAATCGACATAATATTCTCTCGTTTAGAATACTTTAACCGATGACATGAAAATACGAATTGTATGAAACGGAAAATTGTTAAATAATACGTTAAATAAATAAAATAAAACTATAAAACTGCTTTTTCACGTAGATTTAAAGGGAAATTATGTAAATGATTTTCTTGAAGTATGAAAAATTATGTAAGTGAAATTTTGTAAGTGAATTATGTAAGTGAGGGAAATTATGGAAGTGAAATGCATTTTTTCATGCATTGCATTGTTTCCTTCAAATGCAATTTTCATTTAAATATGACATAAAATAATTATTTTTTTTCTGCTTAGTTTATTTAAAAACAAATTTAATTAATATTCCAAGAGCAGCTTTGAATTTTATTTTATTATTTTTCTCTCGCCCTGTACTTGTAGTTTGTTTTTGTTTAAACGGGGTCGAAATTTCCATTGGGGATACATTTTCCTCATAACGATTGTAACTTCTACTAGCATTTTGGCACATAGCTCCAGCTGAAATTTGAGTACCCAAGTAAATCAGAAAGTAGTAAAAGTTTCGCTTGGTGATAACTCTAATCGAAGATATGAATTCGGCTTGTAGACGCTTTTAAAACAATTAAAATTTCCAGCAAAGAGAACACGATAAGTTCGTTTCAACAATAATACAGCCATAAATTCAGTGCAGAATGGTCGGAAAATGATTGACTTGCACCGTCATCCAACCTAGAGATCTAGTACAGTTTTGAAGTTGTCGAAGCATGCAGTGACGATAAATTCCCTTCAGTGATACTCTGTTAGAAATTTCTAGGAAAAAATTTTTAAATAAAAATTTACATAATTGTTTTTTTCCACTTTCGATCAAAACAGTCAAATAGCCATAAAATAGTATTCAAGCTATTAACTGTGATAATAATTTAATATTGACTGTTCGCGCAAACTAGGCCCACAACTAACGAGAATGGAGGACGCCTTTCTCGAAAGTTGAAAGCTAAATCAAGAAATAAAGAATTACGAACTCTTATTTTTATTTTCCATCATCGGGTGCTTAACACAACAGCGAATGTCTAATAAACTTACAGTAATAAGTGTAGTGAATGTCTTATGAATCACCTTAGTTCCCTGCCAGTTGTGTATTTACATTGACCGAGAGGGCTAATCTGTCCATCCCATGTCAAGCTGAAAGATGCCTCGAATTGCACCGCAATGATTCCTTAATTCCTTCCACACATGAGAAGTTTACAGTGCCCTGATGATGACCTTGGACTATCGAGATATATTATTATTTTTTATATAATCGACTCGAACAGCCGACCCTATTTTGGGTTTATGACTACTAATGTTCAACTCCGTAGCCTTGTAGTTTTTGAACCAATCCAGAATACAAGGAAACTCCTGGATCAGTACCCCCAGAGGTATGATTTGTTATTGGAACATGGAGGACTTTGTGACTCGACAGATTTAACGTGCATCAGTCACCATTTACTAAACAGGGAGTCTGCGGCCGGCGGGGATTGAACCTACGACTTCTTAAACATGGGCCCAGTGTCCTATCAACCAGGCTATCTCGGTCCTTGGACTATCGAGATATGGAATTTCAATTCATGCATGGATGGTTGCAACATAGGGCTGCTTATCCCAAAAGAGTCACAACTACACTTTTGCGTCCATTACCTAACATAACCTAATTCCAATGTCCAGTTAAATTTCATTTTTATGGTTTCGAAACCATGCTAGTAGTAAATGGTTATAAAGACATATAAACTTTTACTCACGAATATCAGTTGTAAAAGTTTTCAAACCAGTAACGGTAAAGATATGTTCCTAACCTTAAACTTAACCTAAACCGATTATTTTATCATAATTTTAAAATAAAAATTCTGACAGTGTAATATAGTCAGTTCAAAGTGGTTTGAAAACGATTCTACCATGTATTTTCATCAAATGCAAAGCTCCAGATAAAATTTGAGCACTCAAATAAAGCTTTGTAATCATAAAGTGGACGGAATCATAAAAAAAATTGCGCAGTCGTAATTGAATTTCGTTTGACGATAAATTTCATCTGGTGAAGGAAAACTATTGAAACTTGCATTGTCATAAAATACAAAGCTCCGGAATGAATTCGATAGCTGTAGTTCTCTCGTTAAATTATAAACTTTTAGCTTTAGATAGCTTTTTTGATCGATTGTAAAATTAAAGAAATTTACTCAAGCAATATCCATAATATAGAAATCAATCAATGATTATTCAAACTCAATACTTGTGTCAGATTACTGCAATTGAATTCACAATTTAAATAGACAATTTCTAGCTTAATTACTCTTGTATTTTGAATTATACTATTGTAATTTTTAAAACAAAAAATCTGTATTCCGCTCAAATATTCTGCAATATGCGAACAGTTATGACCTTATGTGACAGAAATAAAGATAATTAATTAGAGAAGTCATTCTCATTTCTCATTTTATTAACAAGGCAAACTTCTTTCCGTTAACATTGAAGTAAAAAGGTTAATGTTTCATGTGTATAAAATAATTAATTATCAAACAACTCTATTAAAACAAAATATTAAATGCATATTACAAATGCGTTCCAAATGCATTTTACTTCACATAAAACATAAATATAACCAATTTTTTTAAGATATTGGAGCAGTATTGCAGCAGTATTTGATAAATATGATAATAATAACGAGACCATTTTTTTTATTAGAAATTTAGAAAAACAATTTACGTAACCAATTTAGCTAAACAAAACTATTGGTCGGGAATAAACACAAAACCGATGAATCAAAAAAATTGAAAGTCTGGGGTAAGCTTAACACCTGAGAAAAATAAATATTTTTATTAATTTTTTCTTTCATAAAAATTTAATCAAATTAAGTATTAAAGATTATTATTATTAATATCACTTAAAAATGTTTTTTTTTGTAATATTACTTGTTATAAATATCTTTTGGTGTTTTATTAATAGAAGTATAAACTTTAAAATAAAATATTTTAAAACAAAATTTTTTCCCAAAATGCTCGAGTTTGCAAATTTAATCCACTGCAGAGAGGCCATCAAATTAAAGCTTTTACTACTCAACAAAAAAATATGAAAAAAAGTTTGTTAATAAGAAAATTTAAAATCCCGTTCTACTCCTTAGAATATCCTCTAAATATATGTACTTAGATACTTAAAAAAGAAAAAAAAATTAAGTGGCACCAATTCGTTTTATTAGATTTAATACTCAAGGTACCTAAATCAACTAAAAGAAAATTATACTTATTTAAAGTGTACAAAAATACCATGTAATATTTATTTATTTGCTGCAAATTATTATTAAATTATTATTAAACAGAATAAACTAAATATCTAAAGAATATACGAAATATTGTTTAGATATTTAGTTTATTCTGTAAATATGTACTGTAAATATCTAAACAATATAACTAAAATATCTAAACAATATTTTACTCGAAACTATAAAATTAGGCTCTGTTACGTATGCTTTTGTTGCACGCATAATATTAGTTCATTTTACATACATTTTATATTAGTTCATTTTTCGCTACATAAAAAATTAATGTTGAGCCTGCTCAGTTTTGTTTCAGTCTTTATTTAAAACAATTTCAGAATATTCTCCATTTTAATTATTGCCAATAATGATAAAGTAGATATAAAATTTATATTTTAAATTTATCTTTATCAATAGTTTTAACTAGAGTCAAAAGTAGTTAACTATGACTTATAGCAGTCTTCAAATTAAAAAATATATATATATACTATTAAAATCTCCACTATTGCAAAACATTTAACTTTTCCAAATTGGAAAAATATTGCCTTAAATATTAATGAAAACCTAATAAAATTTATTAAATAATAATATATTTGAATATTTGTTGATTTACGTTTTGATAACCCAGTTATGAAAGAAACTGATTGGTTGATTTTTCTTCTCAATGAATGGTCGTAAACAGATAGTGATTCGTAAAACGCGTTCATCAAGTTTTTAATTATCACTCGCTTAGCAAGATTTATGAATTTCGGTCAAAATCGAAGCAGTGTCTGAAGGTCGAATCAACTTTCGATTATAGATGTTGTCGAAAAATATATCTAAATTTCATTACATATTGTTAAATATATATATACTTCATTATTTCCCAAACAATCATAGTGATTATACGCTATTTCAACATTTCAAAGACATTAAAATTACAGAAATCAGATATAAAGAGATCCCCATAGAGAGACGTTCAGATGATCAGATTTGTTAAAAGATAGTACTGTTTCAGCATATCAATTACGTAATCACTTTACTACGCATTAATTGTTGCGTAATATGTTTGAGAATACGTGTTCTCATTCCATGATTCAAAAGATGTTAAAAGATAGTTTATGTTCCTTTTCAATTTCCTCGTTCATCCACATTAATTAACGACCACTTTTCCATTTGTAAAATACTGATACATTGTATGAAAATAAAATACAATTAGAATTTTTAGTACGATCTTGTCCTTCATGACATTGTGAAAAATATCTAAGGATTACTAATTAGTCTTACGATTCATATAAATTAGATCTATATCATTTTTTGAAAGATTAAAAGCTCCAATAAAATTATAATGTACTTCTAACGTATTGTCACTATGTACTATGTTTGTTAATACCTATTTACATTAATGAGTTGTATGATTACAAACTACTTAATTATTTAAAAAAAAATTATTAAATTTTTCCTCTTTATAACTAATGCAATTAGTTTAAATTGTTTATTTAAATAATTAAAGTCTCTTTATATTTTCTTTCAGTAAGAAACCTGTCCTTCACCGCTATTCATAGCAGAATGACATAATACTTATCAAGATTAACGTAATATACAATGCAGTTTCATAATCAAAATGAAATAGGAGTGATTCACTGCTTGAGATGGGATTAGATTAAACATATGGTTTAGACTAAAAACAATCGAATTTCAACCTTAGCCTCGAAAATTTAGATTAATTTGATTAAAAATACAAACTAACTATTTTAACGTGATTAGAAATTTAAGAGCGTACAGAATATCGTGATAATTAACAGCAACCTTATCACGGTGAATCATTAGATGATATATCATATTCTACAGAGCACAAAATCATATATCACCCTGAATAACGTTCTAATGATCGGTTTTTAATTATCAATCTTAATAGTTCCTGGTGGTAAGCTCAAATATGCTAATTATTTAGTCTAACTATTAATTAAGTTACGAAATTGGACACAAAAACGAACTTTTTCGGAATAAATATACATTTTTTTTACATATTTGGATTCCTAACCTTCAAAATATATGGGGTAGCGGCAATCTGAGAAAGATGTTCCTCATCATTTGATCAGGAGGGTTCCAAAGTTCGGATCCTTTAATGTTGATTTCACTTTTGGCGTTTTTAGTTACATTTTTAAAGCTAATTAAGCAATTAAAAAAATTGCACCCACTCATAAAACCCGTTTACCCGGAGATAATTTCATACAAAAATTAATTTTTAATAATTATTTATTATTTTTGATTATTCAATTTAGTTGTGGATGAAAAAGTTTGAATTATGAGGCATAAAGTTTTTTATATCAGATTAATCTACATATTGAAAAATTTAAAGTTTCAGCAGTTTTTGCTTAGTAGAAGACGTGGAAAATTAAAATTAATTAGTTTTTAAGAAATAATTCAGCGGCATTGAAGAAATATTTATGATAATCATCATAATATTAGTAGCAGTCGTATCAAAATAATACGGCTATCATAATAGTACGGCTGCACTGACATGATAACCGAACTATTATGATAGCGGTAGTATGTTAGACGTACTATTTATGACGGATATCTATGTATTTCATATTATTTAATATTTTACTCATTATAAAATTTTCAAAGTAAAAATATCAATTTTCTTACTTTTACTAAAGATGGCAATTGGGTTTTCGAGATTTTGTTTTAAATACTGGATAAAACTCATTGAAGTGAAAAAGATTACTTTTGTTTTAATATGCATATTCTAAGGATAGTTTTAAACTTTTTAATCCGTATTTTAACCAGTTGAAAGTTTTTTAATCATCCAAATGAATGTGAATGATTGATATGAATGCATATGATTGCATATGAATGATTAGAAAACTTCAAACGACGTTATCTCAAAACAGTATTTTTCCTAATCACAGAATCGATTGTTTCTGAAAGTTCATGAAAGAATAAAAGACAAACTTTAAGGTGTCTTCAAACACTAACTTTTAAAGTTGCGTGTATATTGAAATTCTGGGAATTTTTAGCTCCAAATATAGTTTCCAAGTATTACTACCTATATGTAACTATATGCATAATGTAAGCTAAAGCGCGCTGTAGGCTAATTTTATTTTTTTCTACACTGGGTTTCAAATAAAAGAATGACAGACAATAAATAAATAACTTACTCCAGTGTCATTTTCAAATATTTTGAATGCTTCCAGACGTTTATTTACAGAATAGAATCTTGGTTTTGGTGGTAGAGGAGGCCATGCTGTAATTGTACAATATTTCCCACGAATATCTTTGTTTGGTACAACTGTATCAACGCACTGATCATACGACCCATAAGATGACAATGTCCCAGTGAGGACACCGTCAACTGTCTTGGCAGACGCATCGGCCACTAGAAAATAATATTGAATAATATAAATACATAATATAATATATAATTTAATATATAATTTAAAATATAATATGTAATATAATATTATGTAAATGTGAAATATAATTTATATAAAACTAGAAATTAATATTGAAAGCAACATTTAAAGCATTGAATGCGAAGCTTAAAATGTACGTATTATTTATTTATTTCAGACATTTGCTAACTGGATATGTTTGATACGCGTAGCTGAAATATATAGTTATAGTATATAAGGTTTTCCGCAACTATCATCAATAATGCGTAGTTTTAGAAACTTTGCTGAAAATAAAGTAAAGCACATTTAAGGCCTCTAATTAGTGCAGGATTCCTACGGATCTGGGGAAAATTTAAAAGCAGACTTAATTTGTGAAAATGATAATGGGAATTTCCTTTTTTCTAAAATGCTATTTCAGCATTCAGAGGTTTGCTTGAAAAAAATTATTATTTATTTACAAAATTACCATATAGTGGTGGTCACCAATATATTATTGTCTTATGCTCTTTAGCACTAAATACAAAGTGTTTTGAAAAAAAACATGCCTTGGTTTGATAATAGGTTTTCTAAACATGTCATCTTGCATATTTAATGATGTGTTAAATGTACAATAAAGCATGTGAAATTTACACACGTAGTTTACATTACGTGGTTTTTAGAAGCAAGTAGATAACTTTTCATGGTAATTCTTAAAAATTTATTAGTTAAAAAAATAAAGAAACAAATTATCTTTATTTACAAAAAATAAAATAACGGGAAAATTTAATGAAGAAAATTTGTCGAAAAACTACGATAAATTATTACCTGCCCGATATTTTTCTTTTTCTTCCCACAGAGATAATTTTTACAGTTCCACGTCAGATTATTAGATTACTTTAAACAAATAATAAAAGTTTATCTTTTATTTGATTACTATTAAATGCGATCAAGATGTTTAAAAATATTATTTTCTATTTTTAAAGATATTTTCTGAACAATACTAATTTCTGGAAAAAATATCTCAGAAAAATGAAATTCTAGGTAGAAAGAAAGTTTTTGTTATGAAAGTAGGAAAATTTTAAATAGGATTTCAAGACGGAAAAATTATAATTTTAATTTAATAGTTTTAATACAGTTTTAACTAACGTTGGAAATTATAATTTCGTGCATTTTTCATGAATACTAAGATAAACTGTCTCATGCTTGCTCCACTTATTAATTCCCGTGTTTGCTTTTCATTCTTAATTGTTTTTGTTTTCTTCAGACATGGAAAACATGGAACATATTGCTAATAAAATATATAGTTGCCATAATTGTATGTAAGAACATACTATTAATATGTTAATCGCAAAGAAATGATCAATTAGCTGATTTTTATAAATAATTGACTATGCTTGAGAAAAATTTAAAATGTAAACTTAAGAATGCAAATCGTATGACTCGAAAATAAAAAATAAATTAAAAGTGATTTTACTTGTAAACGAGACTTATGTAATTATATCCTTTTAAAACTAAAAAAGCTTTTAACTCTCTGAAATTATATTTTTATCATTTTGAATTATATTATATTTTTAAAAATGTTGATATATTTAAACACTTTCTGTCTCTCTTTCTGCTACTTTCGACATCAACTCCAGCACAAGCTTATAAAGTAAAGATTTCGAGTGAGAAAAAAAATTTACGAAAATGAACAGTCATTGTTTAAGTAAAGAAAGTAGAAAAAAATACACGTGGTTGCAATTACTTTTAAACAAAGTAGGAAATAATTAAGTAGAGAATAAAAATAGCAATTTCAGCACGACATATTTTTTGTGTTTAATTGTATTTTTGCAGGGTGTAGAGCGACTTGCATGGTATTTTTACTGCAAGTTTAACAGTTAATAATTCTTGACCTAATTATGAGATGTTTTTCTTAATCGAACGTACTCCTTATAAATTTCTCTATGTATCATGGTAATTCCAAGTTTCTAAGACATATAAAATCCAAATCAGTAGCAGCTCTTACTTTTCTTTAAACCTATCGAGATATGAATAAAATTATTTTTATGTATTCACATGTGGCCAGTCTCAGACACGGATTTATATATTTTTTTAAATATACTATTTAGTTCCATACTCCACGTGAGGATTAAAATCGAGAAATCACCCTTAAACTTCTCGGAAAAATATAGATTCTCTGGAAACTTAACAGATTAATATTGGTTTTTAAAGTGATTTTTAATGCTTCAAAGAAAAAAAAACAAGCATTAGTTTTTCCGAAAATACTTTTTTTAATTGAAGGACATTTATTAAAATTAATAATAGCTTTTACATGAGTTATATTTTTAATTAAAGTGAGATTTTTGTTATAATTAAAAGGAAATAATTAAATGCAAATTACTTGTAATTCCTCAAAAACTATATCTCAAAAGTAAAAGGTATTTTTTAACTTAAATATTTCATTGATAAAAAAAAAATTTATCTACTTCTATTTTTCGGTGGAGTAGCTAAATTTTAAAATAAAATTCTAAAGCAAAAAATATAAATTGTAATGATGATTAAAAATACAACAAAAAGTTACTCTTTTGTAATCTTGTTCTTCATAATTTTGTTATAATCATTATAATTCTATAGCCTTCTGATAAGGTATAATTTTAAATTGCAATTTCTAATTATTAGCAAAAATAGCATTCCTCCTATCAAGTTCAAATATTCACTTAATTACTAGCACTTAATTTAACTAGCATTTAGGTTTAACTCATATATAAATTAAGATAATATTACATATGAGTTAAACCTAAGTGCTAGTCAATAACTCATATATAATATTATCTTAAATATAAACTCTATAGAGTGAGCTGAATCTCATTGTATTTCAGAGTCTTGTATCATGATTTACGTCAAAGTGCATTATGTATTTCGATAACATCCTTTAATTTGATACCATCCATTCCTTTCTTTACAGCTCTTGGACAAAAAAGAAAAATATACAATATCCGGTTAAGCCTTTTAAAATTAAGACAAACCGTTGCCTGAAAACTGTAAAACCTTCAACAATTTGTGACCTCCAGTGAAAACTTCTTATGTTTGTGTCACAATGATAATTGCACTGAACATAACCATTTTAGTAGTACAAGTAGCTTTTAATTAAAGTTTGTTTTTAATTGAACCATCAAAAAATTAACTACATATATTAGAAACCATGATCACTAATTTTTATTGATGTTTTTTGTTAATAAAACACTTTTCATAATTTTTAAATTCTGGTTTTCAAAACTAAAGTTATTATTACTACAAATTTAGTAAGCAATATAAAACTAAAAAATAAATTTAACCGAATAAAGGATTTTCTCGCCCTGCTCTAAGATATCATGATAAAATTACCACATATTACCACATTGATCAAATTTTATCCCAAGTTATAAAACCAGACATTATTGTTAATTTTACCAAAATCGTTACCATCATTACAATCATGCCGATAAAAATTACCGAACTTTTTGGTGTTCCGATAGAGCCAGAAACATGGTAAATTTTACCATATTCTGGTAGTTTGAACCATGCCTTTTTTCTCAGTATCCTGATGGTCGGTGAATTAATAATTGGTAAAATAGGCAATTTTAATGGATTATAAATTTCACAGAATCCATCAAATATGAATACATTTTCTAACTTTCCATCTTTTGTGAATAACTCATGTTTTAGCTCATTGTATCAAATGTGCGCATTTTCTTTTATTTTCGAGAACCAGAAGATTACACTAGATTTCTAAAGCTATCATTACTTTTCAAAATTTTATAATTGAAAGACATAAGCAAATTTATTTGTATACATTACTTTCTTGCTCCATTAGCAAGACAAAATTACTCTGTAATTTTAATTATGCTCTTAAACCAGTTCTTATCAAAGTATGGGAGAAGGATTTTTAGGAATCTTTTAATTCGAAATATGAGTATTATGTTATAAGGATGTAAATCAGTGAAATTTGGCTCAATTTTTCAGATTCTTATTACTTTTCATACATTTTAGCGCAACTTTTTTATTAGTTTTCTTTTACGTTCGAGCATAAAATGCAACAATTAATCAAGTGTAAAAGAACTTATAGTGTAACTTACCATTTGGACGTTTTAAAAAATATATATATTTCAAGTCATACTTTAATTTTGATTATACTATTTTTATGTGTTATGGAATTATGCATCCATTTGCTTACTTAATTATAGAAAATTGACTATATTAATGCTTCTATGAATATTAAATAAAAAAAAGAGATAATTATATCGATGAATATAAAAAGAGATTACTAACATTGTTATAAAGAAATGTTTTTCTAGGCAACATACTTTTTTCAGTTGAGTTATAAGTATGTTTTTAATCATATATTTTTCCATAACACTATGCAACCATTAACTGAAATGTATGTTTTTTAAAATGTTTTATAATGTACTTTAAGAGCATTTTAGATATAAATTCATGAAAAATATCCTAAATTTTAGAAATGCTAAATAAACTGGACGATGCTTAAAACTATACTATGCAATATACAGGACAATTAGTTAAGATCAACCGGTAAAATTGAAAGAAAGGCAACAACATAACTAAACATAGATACTCTATATTTTTTGTATAAAGTAACGAATATACACATTATACGTTTTGCTTTCTTAACTCATTTTTCTATTTCATTTTCTTTGATATTAATTGTGTTTAAACAGAAATTCATAATACTTGCAAATACTAAGAATTATAATTTTTAACACAGTGAACTGTAAAATCGCTAACCTAAGACATATCATGGAAAATAACTCCTTAATGCTGAAATTTAAGAAAAAACTTTTCACTGATAAAAAATTTTATTCTAAATTTTGGAGCTTGGCTAATGATTAACTTAGCAGAATACTTTAAAAAAATTATTTTAAATTAATCTCTCCAGGTTTAAATAAAAAAATATTTATATTAAATGTAGCTGTAAGCAACTAAAAAAGTGTGCTTACTTCTAAAAGCATATGGTTTCATTACCCTTAGATCAGCTATCCATTGAAACACAGCATGTGGATAAACTGTTGACAATGCAAATTTGCCTTTGATGGATTTATATAGCATTACTTGAACTTACATTGACTCCCTGAAAATTAAGAATAAAATTTCGAATGTAAATTCTGATTTTATTCTTAATTTTGGAGATTAAATTTTACTAATGTTTAACTTAGCTGATTACTTTAAAAATATTATTTTAAGTAATCTCTTCAGATTTAAATAAAAAAGTGTTTTATATTTCACGCAAAATATGGAAAAAATGTAGCTACAAGCAACTAAAAAAGTGTGCTTACTTCTAAAAGCATATGGTTTCATCGCCCTTAAATCAGCTATCCATTGAAACAGAGAATGTCGACAGGGTGTTGACAATGTAAATTCGCCCGATGTAACAGAATCTATAAAATAAGGCATTGCCATTTTGATGGCAGTGCTCGTCAGCTTACGAATACTTTTAAAATTTTCTTCCCATTTCTGAATAACTTCTTCCGTTTCATTATCGACTTTTTGGTCTTGTTGTATTCCCTCGCCATTGGTGGCAAGAACAAAAACGCAGACGATGAAAACGCCGGTCAACAGAAAGTTCGACGACGACTTCATCTCTGCAAAATCTCGCAATCGAAAGTGATGGAATACGGGAAAAAAAGTGTTCTTCGTTCACCCCTTTTCTTCTATCTCCCGAACTTTTCTCTTCCTTTCGAAGGTCATCAGGTATAGAATGCTGAAGGGATATCTTTACTTACTCTTCTACATCGATTATACTCAGAGAGAAAGCAGTTTTTGGCCAACTCTGCGTGGATTGACCTTCGAGTAAACAAACCAGTAACATTAAAACGTAGAAAGGTAGAAACGTAGAAATTAATAAACTCAGATGCATCAACGATAAGTTGAATCTTCCGAATTATGCATCCGATTGGACAGTGTCGAAAGTAGTGCATGGCAAACAACTTTTGTTTCAGGAAGTTATGCACGACTAAAAAAGTTACGTTTTAACGCTAGTACCACCCACAGTCATTTAAATTACTTCGTCATATATTATTACATAATAATTTTCAAAAAAATTCACAACTATTCCTCAACAGCAGGGTTTTTTTTTTAATTTTATTAAAAATAGACATATGTTCAATAAAGAAATTCTTGAAATATAAATTAAGAAATAAATGCAAACCGTATCGGTCATCAAACATCATTTTTATTTTTAAAAAAAATTGAATGCAACTTTGTATGCATCTTCGTTAAAACAAATTACTCCATTAATTATATAATAATTAATACCAATCGAAGTTTTTTTAGAACTACTACTCAATAACAGAGTTTCATTAAAAATAAATAAATGTAAAAGATGTATTGTAATGGAATGCATGAAGCATAAATAACGAAATAAATACAAATTTTACTTTACAAAGATTAAATAGTGTTGATGTTTAAAATTTTAACATGACATGCTGCACATTAGCTAAAACAAATTACACCATAAATTATGTAACAACTAATACAAATAAAAGAATTTCAGAACTAGTGTTTAATAGAAATTTTTCAGAAGCATTATGTAATAGAAGTTTTCCATTAAAAATAAGTTATTGTAAACTGTGTATTAAAATGTAATGCATGAAATAAGTATCATGTAATAAATACTGACTTTACTTTTCAGGGATTAAATAGTGTTTATATTTGAAAATTTAAAGCGACATGTTGCACATTATTAAAAGCAAATAAATCTGAAAATTATGTAACATTTAATTTAAATGAAAGTTTTTCAGAACTATGGCTGCTTAATGAAAGTTTTTCATTATAGATAAATTAATGTGAAGAGTGTATCATAATGAAATGCATGAAATAACGAAATAAATACAAATTTTACTTTTCAGACATTAAAAGGTTTTTATATTTAAAAATTTAACGAGGCATGCAGCACATTAGTTATAAGAAATTACTCCGTAAATTATGTAATAACTAATACAAATGAAGTTTTTCTGAGCTATTGTTTAATAGAAGTTTTTCAGTAAAAACAAATTAATGTGAACTGTGTATCATAATGGAATGCATGAAATATGTCTAATGAAATAAAAGCAAACTTTATTTTTCAAAGATTAAACAGCGCTTATATTTAATATATTTAACATTTTTAACATTAGTTAGAACACTTTACTCCGTGAACTACGTAATAATTAATACAAATGAAAATTTTCATAAATACTTCCGAATGGAAGTTTTCCATTAAAAATAAATGAATTTAAATGGTGTATCATAATGTAATGCATAAAACATATAAATCATGAAATAAATACAAACTTTACTTTTGGGATATTAAATAGTGTTTATACTTAGAAATTTAGCAAGACATGTTGCTCATTAGTTAGGGAAAATAGCTCCGTCAATTTTGTAATAGCAAAAATGAATGAAGGTTTTCGAAAATTACTTACAAACAGTTTTTCATTATAAAAAATAAAGGAAATTGTTAATAGTTGTCAATAATGGGATGCATAAAACACAAACCACAAGATAAATCGAGATTTTTCTTCATCCGTGATTAAATTGTATTTTTTTTTAAATTATTGTATACTTAAAAATATGGAAAATGAAGTTGCACCTGAATTGTTATAAAAATGCAGCTTGATTTATCATTTTACGATACTTTTATAACATACCAGGAAACGTACGAAGATTTAAAAATATTTCAAAAAACAGGATGACTTTCATAACTTGACAATAATGTAATTTTTTTTTTTGGTATTTTCCTAAAAACTATAAAATTTATTTACTTCATTAAAATATTTATTAATATCACCAGTCTCACAGAATGCCCTGCAAATCTGAATAGGCTTAAAAAGTTTGAAACTTTCAAAATCATTTGTCCCGCAGTGAACTGATCGTTAAGACACGGTTCCCAACAGATCACCGAAGTCAAGCATCACTGGCTCCGGTCAGTGTGCGGATGAGTGACCACTTGGATCAATTTGCGTAGGGATCGAGGGTGTGCGGTATTGGTCGTCGTTAAACTGTTCTACAGTAAAGTGCTCGACTTCGCGTGCAGGTCGTTGGGCTACCGAAGCAGGTGTGCCATCACCTCTGCAAAGGATCAAAATTGTGATGGCTTGTCTTCGGATCATCCTCAGGGATGTTTCCCAGACCGTTGCCAATAGCCCATTGTGCAGCTCTAGTGCGACGTAAATTAACTACAGCAACAACATCAAAATCATTTCTTAAAATAATACTTGAGAAAGGAAAAGAAAGTTTACAAGTAGACAGTAGTCTGAACCTTACTTTCTTAAGACCTTAGTATCATTTTAAAATAAAAAAAACTGATTTGTGTTATTATTGTGAAAATATTTTTCTGGTACGGAGAGTAACCAAAAATGTGGCTTGCAAAAGTTGGACCTCACATTGACTTTTGTTGTATTGCTAAGATAGTTTGAAATTCTTATAATAATTTGCTTAAAGTTATTTTACTATCTACCCCTTTATTCAAAACGAAAAATTATTTTGCTTCTCTAAAGTAAATTTACCTTTCTTAAAAAAAATTCCCCAAATTTTTTTAATATCTACGTGTTAACAAATCCTTGTTCCCAATTTGCGTTCTTTGACGAATTAGATCGATTATTGTTTAATTGCTTATGTTTAAAAAAGCAGACTAGTTCAGTAATATTTTTTAAAAGCATGAGCCATTTATTTTGTATAGACAGTTATAAGAAAGAAACCTCATTCTACTGATTTTTTTATAATTCTTTTTTAAACAAGCACTTGTTTTAAAATGAGGGAGATAGTTCAGAGTGTCTCAAAAATATCATCTACAAACCCCTAATAGCCCGTGTGATATCTAAGAAAGCCTTTTATTATAGTGCAATAACTTGACACTATAGAATTTTTTTAAACTTCTGTAGTATGTAATTACCAGAGGTGAATTGCTTAGGAGGAAAAAACCAAGAAACCCAATAACCATCTTCATAAACATTAAGACCCATCTGCATAACACCCAATATTTACCAAAAAATGTACAATCGTAACTTTGCGAAATTAAAAATTGAGCTAAGATTTTGATCTTCATATTTAAGCATTCGCAATAAGATCTTAAATACGTTCGTCACCTGGAATCAGTTTATGAATACATGAGATAAAAGCACGTGTTATCTATTATTTAAAAAAATATTGAAAAAATGATTGGAAGGTCATTATTGATTTATTAGAAAACTGGAACTGAAAATACTGCTGGCTAAATAACTCGAGTGTTTGAAAAGACTAGAGGAAAAAATAAAGCGACAACAAACGACAAATTGCAACACTTGCTCTACATAGAACGAAAAAAAAAACGGAAAGAAGTTTATCTAGAAACTAATGTCAAGGCTAATGGAGCAATTTATATAAATTTGTCCGAAAAACTTTTTTTAATTAAAGCAATTTATTAAACAAACTTCAAACGATTCGATTTGACAGTATTGTATTGATTAATGCTGTTTTCAATTACCCTAAAATAATGATGAAATTAATTGTGCGTATCTTAGAAATTATAATTTAGTCATTCAGTTACATAAGCGCCATCTAGATTTTCTTACCTTAACCTCCTATCGTTTGAGATTTAATTAATGGCAGAAAATGCCATTTTTACTTAGAAATATGTACAATAGCTTAGATGAGAGTAAATTTAAAAATGGGATGAAAGAGATTCTTCTAAATAAATTTCAATGATATAACTTTAGTTATTTTTTTACTTATTTCTAATTATTGCATGAAAAATAAAAAAATTTAATTTTTATCATTTTCGGCATACTAAGATATTTTTATAATTTCTTTCTTCACATTTTTGTCGTGTAACAAAATACACTAGACTCAAATAATATGTTTTTATTGTCTTTATTACCGCAGATAGCCCATAACTGATAAATCAGTTTACATGTAAGCATTTAACGTGAATGTAAAGTCAAGTTAAGATTGGAAGTCCAAAACAAAACAAAACACAGTAGTGAGGTTTCAATTGGCAGAATCCTATGAACTGTATAGCTGATATTGGTAAAAAGTTTAAAGGTAGTAAAAAAGTTACGATTCATGACAACTATGGAGCACTTTGTGTAATGTGAGCATAGGACTGGTGCAATCACTTTCCGCCATTAAAAAATTTGCTCTACTTAACATTGCTCTGTTCAAGACAGATCTTTTCAATCTCGACTTAACATTCATCTTCAACTCAAGTCCCGAGGGACCTCAATGGCTCGTGGGTGATAATTTTGTGTCTCACTGAATTATCGCATTCAGTTTGAGATAATAATTCGATAAAAGAAGATGAAACCTTTAGAATGGACATTATATCCAAATACCTAAATACTCGTTAATCTTACGAGGGGGAGAACTAAATAATTAATAAATTGGTACTACAAAATCACGCACAAAACTGAAAGTAAAGATTATGATAGTCAAAATTTACTGCAATCAGACAGTTTTCTTTGGTGTTTATTCATTTCGGGGGCCATGAAAAAACCTATTGCCACAGTACTTATAGTAGGCACATTGGTGCTTATATTAGTATAAATTTGGTATCAGTTAAAACAGCACGAATTATCATAATACCTGAAGCGCCTATTTCCAAAACTCATGAAGCATCATTGGTATTAATAATAGTATGTTAACTATTATCTCTTAAATTAGCATTTTGTCCTTTAAATTTGCTATTTAGTGCATATCTTATTACCCACTGGCAAAATGGGTGTTGTTTTGAGTTTGATGGCATGCGCACCTTATTTGGACGTCATCGCACGTTTCAACTGCGTTTAAGAGTGATAGTAAACAGTGCGCATGCGTCGTCATTGCACGCGTTGCTATGACTACCGCTGTTGTTTGATAACTTTTTTAGAATTCTTTATTTCACTTTTAATTTAGTTATGCATTAAGTTGGTGAGTTTATTTTTAAGATATGGGACCAAAGAGATCCCATAAATACT